ACCCTGGCTTCCCGGATCTCGCTCCTCAAGTGCGTTCACAGGACAAGTGCTTAATTGGACAAAGGCTATTGTTGTAGTGATGTCCCCTGCAGGAGAGGCTGACCTCACTTCATTCTAAACCTCTTTCCCACATAATAAGGGCAGGAGGACAGAGGGAGGCCGCACCTGAGGTAGCCCAGAGGGTGACGTCCACACAGAGTGGGGCACTGGCACAGGCAGTCCAGATTAGCGAATTCTTTCTTCTTCAACCGCACTGTTGTGTTTAGTTACAAGTTTCAGACGAGTACCATTTTCGAGGATGCTAGCACTCCAGACTCCACAGCCAGACCACGTTGTGGAACCTCAGTTTTCTCATCCATAATACTGGGATAGTGATAAATCATACCTCGTAAGGTGGTTGTGAGGCCTGAGGGAAGTAATCCGTGTGAAAGCGGGGCATACAGTAAGTGCTCCCTAATATTTAGTTTTTATTATCGGAGCTGAACTCATCTTGTGCTATAGCCTCAGAATCTGGCTGCCGGTTAGAGTGCCACCGTCGATAAGGAAGAAGACGTTCGAAGATGCAAATCACAGGTTTACAACGAACTTTTGACAGTTTGAGTTGTTACGAAAACAAAGAAGTTACCGTTCAACTTTTAAACAGTTAGCTATATTCGAAAAAGACCGCCTGTTCAAAATCAGTGCAGAACTGTGGGACTGATTACCAGAGATGGTGTCGCAACAAGCAGTATCCTTTTCTTCATCCAATGAGTCTAGTGTGATCAATTTTTTATTTTTAATGTATGCCTCTCGTAGCATCATGTCAAAAAAATTTCTTAGGTTCAGGGTGTGAGAGAACCTAGCCACCCTCAACCCTCACCCCAAGGCCATCTTTAAAGTCTAAGTGGCATCAGGGATCTTCATTCACTGACAGCTAACAGCTACGTGACTGAAAGGGTTTTTTTTGTTTTTTTAAATTTATTTGTTTTTGCGATACGCGGGCCTCTCACTGTTGCGGCCTCTCCCGTTGCGGAGCACAGGCTCCGGACGCGCAGGCTCAGCTGCCATGGCTCACGGGCCTAGCCGCTCTGCGGCACGTGGGATCTTCCCGGACCGGGGCACGAACCCGTGTCCCCTGCATCGGCAGGCGGACTCTCAACCACTGCGCCACCAGGGAAGCCCCAACATGACTGAAAGTTAAAAACATTTTTCAGTGGACTGTTGGGGTCAGAGAGAAGAGTATTCCTTCCACCCACTACCCAGGTCAGAACCTAGGCAGGGGTAAAGCCAGGAGGACCAACCCTGGTCTTGTCTTAGGTGGGAAGGAGAAAGGTCAGGATTCTTCTTGCTCAAAAATAGCTCCCTCACAATCCCACCAATTGGTTTCACTGAGTCTACAGAGTTCTCCTTTTAAAAGCAAATATTACATAGTAAAGGATTCTAAAGAGATGCTCCACAGTAGGAAACTGGTTTTCTCTAGGTAGTAGGATTGTGGGTGATTTGGGGTTTCTACATTTTTGTTTACCTGTATTTTCTAGTATTTTTACAGTGAAAAATTAAGTTAATTTTGATTTTGAAAAGGCCTTTCCTGGAAGGATTAAATAAATTATATTTGGTAGGAATTACCTTAAAAATGGCAGAAAGCAAATCACAATGAGATATCACTCCACACTTATTAGGATGACTATCTTTTTTTTTTTTTTAAACTTAAAATAATGAGTGTTGACAAGGACATGGAGAAACTGGAACCCTTCTGCACTGCTGCTGGGAATGTAAAATGGTGCAGAGCAGCCTGGCAGTTCCTCAAAAAGTTTGACTTAAGGTACCATATCACCCACAACTCCCCATCTAGGTATATATTTAAGAGAAATGAAAACATATAGCCACACAAAACGTGTACACGAGAGTACATCATTCAGAAGAGCCAAAGAGTAGAAACAACCCAAATGTCCATCAATGGACAAACATAAATAAGATGTGGGATATCTATATCATGGAATGTTATTTGACCATAAAAAACAATGCAGTACTGTTACACGCTACTACATGTGTAAACCTTGGCAACATTATGCTAAGTGAAAGAAGCAGTCACCAAAAAACACATGATTACATGTGTTACATGATTTCCGTTTATATGAGGTGTCTAGAATAGGCAGATCTATAGGGACAGAAAGTAGATCAGCGGTTGCCTAGTGCTGGGGAATGGGGAGATGGGGGAATGGCAGCATGAGGGTACAGGTTTCTCTGTGGGGTGATGAAAATGTCCTCAGACTGACTGTGGAGATGACTGTACTTATTTGTGAACATACTAAAAACCTCTGAATTATTCACTTTAAATGGTAAATCATATGGTATGTCAATTATATCTCAATAAAGCTGTTCCCCCAAAAAAGGGAAGAAAGCAATCTGAGTAGGGTGGGACTGCTGACTTGTATGAGGAGGGAGGGACTTTGGGTCGGGAGCACATTGTGGGAGATCGGAAGTCCCTGGAGAGGAAGAGCACGGCAAAGAGACTGCAGGGCACCAAAGACAGGGTGTGATATGCAGCCAAAGGATCAACCTGCACAGACTGGAAAAGTCATCCCTGGTCCTTGGCACAGGCCTGGGTCGCTTCTCCTACACGCGTCCAAGCATTTTACAATTAATGAATCAACATTACTCCCCATGGCTCACCTTAGGTATTAGGAAACTACTGGAAAGAGAAAGGCAGAGCCAGGAATCAGACACTGACTCCACCAAAATCACACAACTCAGGCTAAGTCAGCAGTGATTTCCTAAAGCTGGCTGTCCCTCAGAATCGCCCAGAGGGTTTGCTGGACTCTCTGCTTGTTTGGAAATGTAGACTGTTGGGCTCCACAACCCAGATATTCTGATTCCACAGGTCTGGGAGACAGCCAGGAATCCTCTACCCTTTAGATGTTTCTTCCATGTTTCTGACCATAAACCAGGCATAGGAACTTCTGAAATGAATGACAGCCCCTCTTAAAATATTTTTTAAAGGAAAGAAGAATAATCCCATTTTTAATTTAAAGAAAAGCTTTAGCTTTCATACAAAGAGAATATATAGAAACTGTTCAATGATATGTTTTTGTGATCCCTGGTAAAGCTACAAAACTAACTTTTAGAAGAATAAAAATATTCATGTCGCCACAACTTACCAATTCTCAGTTTTACCCAGGTATCACAATCAATTCTTCTAAACTGTTCCTAAACCACTGCTTAAATATCATAGAATTTAAAAGCTGAAGAGCCTTGGATACTCCTTCAGCAATCTCGTGGTAGACAAGACGCAACGTCAGCCACAGAGATGAAGTGTCGTGCTCAGCCAGGGAGCCGACCCAGATCAGAACCAGGTGGGTGTGCTCAGAGTCCAGGCCTCGCTCTGCTACATCCTAGGACATTCTGCAAAAGCAGCTTACACTGGGTCTGCAGTTGCAGTAACCTTAATCCCTGCGGACACAAAGAAATGGCATTTAAACTATACCTCAAACCATAGAATGTTAGGCCCATTCTAACAAGAAGGAATCTACAGGTTGCACGACCAAAATCTACAAAGAACAGGTGACCCAGTTCCATAAACCATAACCAACCAACAAAAAGTGATACTGGAGGATAAGGGCTTGAATGGAAGTCTTCTGAGAGAGATGACTTATTAACACTCCCAGGCCCCAACCTCCCACACCTTGTGAATTACGCAGGTGGCGTTGGCGTTGAGGGGGCACCACTGCAGCTGCTGCTGGCCCTGTAAACATGTGGCCACCTTCACTCTCCAGGCTTGTATTCACCTGTCACCTTTCCAAGGCCGTCTGGCAACCTCTAGGGGATTTGCCCTGAACTCAGATGGAACGGAATATTGGGTTTGTGATTTTTGAGGCCTGTCCCAGGCATGATCAGTAACAAGCCCTGCCAGTTTCCCCCTGGCTGTGTCCCCAGCAACTCCTCTGCCTGCCTAACTGGCCCTGAAACTAGGAAACCAGATGTGTCCCAGTGGCTGCTCGCATCAGGACACAGGTGGCTGGTGGTGGTTTGTTTTTTTTTTTGCGGTACGCAGGCCTCTCACTGTTGTGGCCTCTCCCGTTGCGGAGCACAGACTCTGGACGCGCAGGCTCAGCGGCCACGGCTCACGGGCCCTGCCACAGAGCGGCATGTGGGATCCTCCCAGACCGGGGCACGAACCAGGGTCCCCCACATCGGCAGGCGGACTCTCAACCACTGCACCACCAGGGAAGCCGCAACTGGTGGTGTTTTGATTCATAGGAATGAGGACAGTTCACTTACAGGAAGTGGGTGGAGTTTATATGGAAATGTCACTAAAAGACATCATTGGTGTGAGAGTGACACTGGTGCAATGGAAGCACAAGGTTCCCATCAAATAACTGAAGTCTGGGTGACAATTCTCCTCTATCCGCCCTGGGAACTCGGTCACATTAGTTAAGGGCTCTGATTCCCGTTTACTCCTCTGTAAAATGGAAGGGACAGTTAAGATGTCTTACCTACCAGTTTCATTCACATTTGTAAAAAAAAAAAAAAAAAAGAACTTTGCTAAACTCTGTAGTCTACACATGTAAATTGTTATTGTTACTACACTGTGTAGGGTTAGGAGAAGGGTGATAGCTATCAAAAAAAAAAAAAAATCCACCAGATAATAACAAGAGCTACTATTCATTGAACACGTACCAAGACCTTGCCAAGTTCTTTCAATTTACTCCTCCCTAAAATCCTATAAGGAAGGTATATTACCATTCCCTCTTCAGAGGGGAAAGGAAACAAAGAAACATTTTGCCACTTGCACAAAGCCCCACTGCAAGGAAGCAGCAGAGCTTGATTTTGAACTTAGGCGTCCATCAAGTTACCAGACAAGTAGTCATCCTTTCTTTTTTAACTCTTCTAATGATGGATAGCAGTGGCAGAACTCTTTTTTTATGATTTTGGGCTTAAGGTCGGAGGGGCGCTCCTTTTCACTGCAGTTTTAAATAGCTGTGTGAATCATGGCATGGGGCTGTGTTGCCAGGTTCTCTTACCCTCTCTCCATAACGTAGCTACTCTTTCTGAAAAGCCCTGCCCACTTCTGGCCACCTGGCTCAGCAGTTCTCTCATGCGCTCCAACGTTGCACTTTCATCAAATTGGCAAGGGCGTATCCAGATCTGCTTGATGGGAAGGAACCGGCTGCTTGTGTCTAAAATCATCAGAAGGAACAAGCCGCTTGTCACTGGAGCAATACCTTACGTGGTCTGGGCAAATTCGCTACAAGGTGAAGAATTTTGCAAGAGGAAACACGCCCATGTTTTTTAATCCACAGAAATATCTCCAAGCAGAGAAGCTCAAAGAAAAGAGTCAGCTTTCACCAAAAAAAAAAAAGTATTTTTTAAGTGATTTGTGAATCAGCATCCGAGGCCACAATGGAAACAGAGGCATTACTCTTCCCTGCTGCCCCCAGCCAGGGGGACAAAGGTGTTTATCATTTGAGGCTCAAAGGGGCCTTCCAATCACCGGAGCCAGAAAGGTTCCCTCACAGGAAAGGCCCTCACAGGCACTGAGCTGTTGGAGGAGAGCTAGACACCCATCCTTTAAACAAGGGCAAACACATCCCAAAGCCTCCATCTTCCCCACGGTTCTTCTGATCACAAAGCTTTCTCAACCACTGCCTCCTCATGGGACAGGGGCCTGCTGGAAGTCCCAACCCTCAGCAAGGCCTCTGAGGCCCCTTTGTGAGGCTCCTTCACGAGCCAGCCCCTCACGCATCTTCTCCCTCCCCACCACCCGTACTGCAGCCTGACCAAACCATTGTCTATATCCTGACTCCCGCTCTGAGCCACACTGCCTGGCACACAGGGGCACAATGCAACCATCATTTGCTGTATTGGTGAATACTTGCATCTCCCTTAAATGAGCCATGTTCTTTTTTTATCTCCAGGTCTTGGTTCAAGCTAACTTCTCTGATTGAACTGTCTTTCCTATTCCTCTAAGTCCCTCTCTGTTTAAAAGAATCAGCTTTATCACTTGGGAAATCATCTTTGACCCTCTCTCTGAGCTGGGTGAGGGACACCAATAACCACGAAGATCCTGGGTGTGATGGAGAAGAAATGGGACCTGGTTTTGCTTTAACGAGCACATCTGAATTTACATTCCAAATGAGTGGTGTTCCCTTTAAAGAAGTCATTAGTCCATTTTAAGAGATCAGTTGGGTTTACGGTGTTAGTAACCCCCTTAGAAGGGTTACTAAGAAATACATTAAACTTCCCAGAACATCACACCACTAAGGGTGGCATCACTCTTCTTGTCTCCCAGAATTCTGACTGAACCAAAAAGGCAGGGCTGGAAGTTAACTTGGAGATCATCTCAACCCCTGCCCAGTTTACAGATGTGGAAGCTGAGGTCAGGTTGAGGTCATCCCAGAGCTCAAGTAGGAAGTTGTTGGCAGCGTTCAGACAAGACGTCAGCTCACCTTTAAGCCAATCACACATTCAAGGCCTTAATCTTTTCATCCCACACTCTGGATAAAAATCCAGTAAATTTCCCCCGGTACCTGCTTTGAATCACATTCACAAGTTTTTGGGTTTTTTACTTGTTTGTTTTTTGCTTCACAAGTTACAGAATAATACTACAATGCTGAAAATTTAAAGCAAAAGTGGGAAGTTGTAAGAGCTCCAGACGGACTCATCATATAAGACATATTATTTCAAGACACAGGGTCATCCCCAGTGAACAAAGGCAAATCCCAAGGTTCCAAGGCCACCAGTCTTTAGTCCAATGTTCCTTAAACATCAGTGCTTCGCATATCGTTACCTCAATTTTTGTCATATTTGAATACCACCTTTACTATTATTTATTTATGTATTTACTTTAACTCACTTTTCAAAACATAAATATCCAGTTTAACCTCAGCCTAAGCAAAATAAATAATCCAAGAAATCACAGGTTTGGTATGCTTTTATGCCTTCCTAGCACATTTAAGATGAATACATAACTATTAAGACAAAAAATATTTATGTGTCCCTTAAAAATCACCCTGTGTACTTCCGGTAGTACGCATGTAACATTATAGGAAATTGTGCTTTTACTCTAGAGCACAGCTGATTCCATCCAAAGTGAAACTATTCTCCATAGTTTCTATTCAGTCTTCCGTATGCACCTATTTTATCTGAAAGGCCAATCAGTGGTAGCACGTGCAGATCCTGAACTAAAGCTTATCTCTGCACTAAGAGCTTTTCTTATCAACCTCTGGATCACTATGCCTTCCACACATTTGATCTGTCACTTTGTTTGAAATAATCCTTCACCCTAACGTTCTTCACTGACTATTAATATATTACGAACAAACAGCAAAAATAATTACCCTTTCACCTAGGAAAACACTGGTGACTACGACTTAATGGTCTACCAGTGACATACGGCTTTTACCCAGCATAATGGATGCAAATGTGTAACAGGATATGGGTAAGTTATTTTCACACAAGCTGTCACCTGTCACACAAATTACATGGGCTTCTATTAGCCGTTTAATTCACAGATTTAAAAACAAAAACAACGAACTCCATTCACAATACCTGCATCAACCCTGGATCTCCTGGGGAAGGCAGAACCAACCCACAAAGCCACTGAAGAATAAAGGCTGTGGGAAGAACATTTTCCGCATGTACGAAATTCTGCTGTGTGTGGATGGCAGTGTTAGAGTTGTCCAAGGATTCCGAAGTCTTCAGAGAAGAGGGAGGCCTGAGATTATGAGAGAAGCCCAAACCTGGATGCCAGGTCAGGGCAAGGGACTCAGTGGTTGATGAGTCAGCCAAGCCTGAGCCAGTTAGGCTGGCGGGGCGCCGCTGACGCCATACAAAGGCGATGCTAAAAGGTCGGCTGCTTTACATCATCAATCTAGACTGGACAGAGCCCTCAGAGAGGGGCCTTTCATGCACATTCCTGAGGAGCGATGTCCGGGGACCGAAGGCCGAGGAGCCTGTGTTGCCGGGGGCCCTGGAGCCTGAGGCTGCAGCTGTGGGGCCAGCTTCAGCCCTGGGCTCTGTTACCATTTTAGGAAACCGGCAGACGCTTTTGCACCCTGATCTGGTTTTATTCATAGCCCTTACATCTTAGAGTTGGTATATTTTACATTCTCCCTCCTTATAGTAATAATAATAATAATAGCTAATATTGATCCAGTACTTAGCCTGTACCTGGCACTGTTCTAAGCACCTGCAGGTATGAACACGTACATGTAGCATCACCGGAAGTTGGACCTGGAAGGAGCCTCAGCTATTGTGGTAGGAGGCACCCTGGACCTACATCAGGAGACAAGGACCTTGCCCCCTATTAGCTGTGAGATCTTGAGTGAGTCCTGCCTCTCCCTGGGCCTCAGTTTTCTCAACTGGTGAGACGGTGAGAGAATGAGAGGATGAAGAGGCTTCTATCTGAATGCCAACCCCGAGCCCATTGAGCTGTCCGGGGCACAATGTTGGAGTGGGATTCCGTTCCCCAATCCATTAGCAATGGCTACCACCATGGGCATGGGAGCAGGGAGTAGGTGTGTCACCTGTTTGTCACCTCTAAGGTCCCTTCCTGCTCAAATTACCTGAATTCATGGTTCCAGCCGAACTGCCTCACTAAGTGTAGTCTCTTTATAAATTAAAAAAGAGAAACAGAGTAAGAATTAGCTTTGGAACCTTGGATACCTCATTTCTGTCGTAGAGTACGTAGCCTTTGACAAGTAGTGGAATCTCCTTAAGTCTCAGTTTATTCATCTACAAAGTAAGGATAAAAATATTTAACCTGCACAGTAGTCTTAAGGATTAAATAAATGTGTAAAGCAAGTAGCACGGTGCCTGGCACAGTGCTAATGTTCAGTTAAGTAGAAGCTATTATTGGTATTTTCATCACCATCATCATTATTAGTCTATCAACCCCAAACTGGATTTACAAAATTTACTGAGCCATGGTTTGTAACTTAAAGAACACATGCTTACAATGAAAACTGACTATACCATCATTCTTGGAGAATAAACTTGAGCCCCTTCCCAAGGAAATATAATTTAGATTTTTTATTATAGAATATTACAAAATATACAAAAATAGAGGATATTATAATGAACTTCCATGGACCCATCACTGGGCTTCAAGAATTATCAATTCACGGCTACTCCTGTTTCATTTATTTCCCCAAACACTCACCCCTCTTCCAGACAACCTGGATCTTCTTTTAAAGCAGATCCCAGGTTTCATATCATTTCATCTGTAAATATTTCAGTATCTATCTCTAAATAACAGAAAAGATTCATTCTTTGTAATTTAAAAAATATTTGTTTTTAATTAAATGAAATGGCAGCAAGGCATAATTAGGAAATTATTTTCTCACATCTCTAATAACACACCATAAAAGTCGCTACAAGTGTATGTATTTAAAAAAATAATAATAAGGGGACGGCTCAGGAGGCCACGTGGGGACTGTGGTATGCATGATTTATTATAGCTACACAAAGTGAGTTATTTCATTCTTTCAGATATTTATGACACCGCTAAAACGCTGAATACATCAACATCAGAATTAATCATGAATAATATTTAATTAGTGCTTGACAAGGATCAATTTGGCAACTCTTTTTGTTCTTTCTCCTTCCCCCAAATAGAAAAATAGTCATAAAATAAAGTGTTTTATTTTTTCCATCTGCTTCTGGTAAAGCGCATCCCTGAATTGCTAACTTAGTTGAGATCTCCTGAACTTTCATATACCCAGGTAATTAGACTCAGATGCTGTCCGGACTGGGATTATAAATCAAGTCTGTGTATGTAAGCAGAAAACAGACCACTCACACCAAGAGAGGGTGTTCTGGCAGGTCCGTTTCTCACAGACCTGCCCGCAGAGCAGACGTCTCAGCAGAGCAGAAAGAAGCTTTCATATAGTTCCCGTGTCATTGAACCCCTTCTCTCACTGCTTCAACCCCCAGAAAGCACTGATTATCGGCTGAATTCTCTATTTAAAAAAGAAAAAAAGTCCTTTTGGGCACTCAAGCAAAAATTCTGCCCAGAGCTGTGCTAGTAGGTACGAGCCAGGAGACTAAGGCATGCCGGAGGTATGCGGTGATGGCATCTTTCCAGCCAGACTGTTAATGCCCAAGGCGCTTGGTGCCCAAATTACTTGTGTACCACTTCCCAGTCAGGGAGTTTCGTTCTACAGCAGAATGATTAGAA